CTACATATATTTGTTTCATGTAGTTTGTATAAATTTTATGACTTTTTGCGATAAAAGCACTTTTGATGTATGATCACATGTGGTTTTATACGAAGGTTACGATAATAATACAAGATATTACATGATGTCAATACAATTAGAAAAACGTTTCTAATTAGTCAAAACAATACAGGACTAATACACAAATATTTTAAACAACATAGATTGGTTATCGTTTTTTTTTTATTTTATTTGGGAAGCTATAATAATAATTTTTTGTCTGCAGATATGGACGAGTGCGCAATGTTCCACAACCTGTGCGTGTTCGGCCGCTGCATCAACACATACGGCATGTTCAAGTGCATCTGCAACAAGGGCTACCAATTAGATAGCGTTGACCCGCGTAAGCAGCTTTCTCATTTTCATTCTCATTCTCATTAAATATTTTCCATTGTGGTTCTACAACATTATGTTTTCACTTTCTCTTTAATAACTTAGTTCTCTTGTTTGGGCTTTCTAAACAGGCTTTTAAGCGGCGGGAGTCAATATTTATGTTTTCACTTTCATTTATATCACATTATTGTTACTTTGAACAAAAACTTTGGAAAAAATTCGTAATTATTGGAATTTTCACGATAAACTCTTTTGTAATTTGGTTTAAAATAAGGAATATAGTTGTAACTTTCTTCATCCATATTTCTTTCTTCTTATTTTCTTCATAATGTACTTAAAATAAAATAATCTTTGTAAAAACTGTACTTGTAACTTCCAAAGCCCGTCATTTTTTCTTATATACGTCTTTGTTGAGATGCGATCAGTCATGTTACTTAAGTAATTATTTAAAAGTGTTTTAAATGCGTATATTGTAGTCTTTTGAAGTGGCACAAAACTAAAGGAATATTATATTCATACTCGTACAACAATATTTAGCCAGTGACTTTAATCTAGACAAGAACATTTACAGCAACTACGTGTTCCAAAAAAAACAGTAAAGAATTTGATAGTGTTTTGTTTGGAGTGTTTTAGTGTTGAATTTTGTCAAAGAATATCGTATGTACTTTTCATCGCGGAAAGGCAATGATCTTTAGACCATGCAGCCTTGTTTTTTATATTTTTTAAATTTATATATGGTAACCATAGTACCTGTTTTATTCATTTATTATCCCTACTCTGTTATTGTGTAATCAGAACACTCTGCTGCTTATTAATCTATGATATTGAAGTGTTATGTCTTCACCGCTCATTGTGAAACATAGCGTGTGTATGTGAAAGCATCTAGTACGTTAGGACACAGATATCGTTGTATTTAGCAGTTTCTTTCCAATTACTGTAATTTGTATTTTGTAATTGTGGCAGTGAAGCTTGGTTTCAACTGCACGGATGTGGATGAGTGCAAGTCCCCGCAATCGTGTCAGTACGGCCAGTGCACTAACACGCAGGGCTCGTATATTTGCCGCTGCCCGCCCAACTACGACCTTGTCTCCGATGGTACTGCATGCTACGGTAATTATAACGTTTGTTCAATATACATTTTTGATGTCGAATTACAAATACAGAAAATGAAGTTAATTTCGTTACCATTTTACGCCACCTTTTCTTTTCGTTTTTTTATATATAATTTATTTAGTAAGCAGCAAACAAGCGTACGTCGCGCCTGATGGTAAGCGGTCAGCGTCGCCTAAGAACGCCTGCAGCACCAAGGGCGTCACGAGCGAGTTGCATACCCCTCAGGACTCTTCTCGAACCCCCTTAGAAGGACTCCATGCTATGCTATATGCTATGTTCTTGCGGAAAAACCCCGCCAGGGAGTTCATTCCACAACCTAATTGTACGTGGGAGGAAGCTCCTCTGAAACCGTACAGTACGAGATCAACTCTGTTCCAGGGTGTGAAGATGGACTCCCTGCCGGTGATATTCTATCACTGCTCGGGTGCGATGATAGAATATTGCTGTTGGCATCATGTTAAACAGTTCTTCAGAACATTGGCCATTGTACAGGCGATAGAACAGACATATGGAGGATCTGTTGGGAATGTCAAAGTGAAGTATCACGCAAGGTTGCGAGTAACAATATTCTGTTTTCGTTTACAGATTCAAGGAAGTCTCGCTGCTACGGTCAAGTAGAAGTTCGTGCAGGTACAGAGCACTGTCGAGATAGTGACGAGTTATCCGAAGACGGCACTATGGCGGCGTGCTGTTGCAGTGTGGGCGCGGCATGGGGCAACTATTGCGACTTGTGTCCAGAGCCCGGCACGGACGCCTACCGACAGCTTTGCCCCGGTGGACCTGGCTACCAGCCCGTTTTCGAACCGGTTGGTTCATGCGTGTATTCCTATAGTAATGGACCCAAGACACTTATGGCGCGTTTACACTACATCGCCATCGCTACGTCGTTATCATTTGCCCGCTAAAGGCGGCTGCTGCCGAAGTCGAACGAGACGCACCCAGTAGTGTCGAGACCATTAGGGTTTGTGCAGCGATCCGGCGATATTTCGCGACTTCGGTCACACCGACTCGCTGCATTTTGTTTTAACATGTAGAACTAAATGGCTTAGTGCAGCGTGCCCGCGACCGGCGACCATTGGTTGTGAATCTTGCAGCGATCAGTCGTCGCAAGTCGCTTGCGACTACTACTAGATGATCAATTAATGTTCCTATTATTATTAGATTATTAAATTAAGTAATTAAAATTATAATAATGGACCCAGATAGGTTAATTGATGCAATTCGTAATCGCAGCAGAATATAATTCGATGAATACTAAATCTCATTCTTCTTATCCTTCCTACGGCACGGACCCATAAACGGAATTTTCCAACAAAAAAAGTTCTGATACCATATCCATTTACCCTGTAGGGACGACAATTATTCGAAAATTCAGAAAGCTATCGGTCGGTCGTCGGTAGTGTTACGTCGCCAGTCGCTCGCGTGCTGCACTGTATTTCGTCGCTAGAAGACGTTGCGAGTCGATGCGACCGCAGTTGCGACATTATCGCCGGCACGTTGCACGAGCCCTTAGGTGCAATCACTGTCGGGCGACTCGGTCGCCTTCATCAAACGATGGCCAACCAACAAGTTTCATCGTGTCGGCCGCCGCGCTCCACCATGCTGCGGGGAGTACCTATTGGCAAAGGCGGTAGTCCACTAGGTGTAAAGAGCGCGTCGACGGTGTCGCTTTCGTCAGCCGAATTCACTTGCCGAGGAGGCGGCAGTCGACTCCTTCGGCAAGACGATGTAGTTTGGCGTGGGCGGCAATCGACCCTGTGTAAACACGCCATCAACCATTGCTGCAAAATTGCAGGCTCGTAGTGAATAAGAAACGAGTTGTTAGCTTATAGTTGCTGTGAACATTAAAGTGCCATTTTATTTGCAGCCATCGTACGTAGTGACGCTAGCGGATATCGACGAGTGCGCACAACATCCAGCGTTATGCCTCTACGGGACATGCACAAACACGTTCGGCTCGTACGTGTGCACGTGCGCGGACGGCTGGCGGCTAAGCGACGACGAGCAGCGCTGCGTGGATATCGACGAGTGTGATGCTAACTCTGCCATCTGTGGGCCCGGAGTCTGCCGCAACATGCCCGGATCTTATGTCTGCCTCTGCCCGGAGGGATACGTTCCTATGCCTTCCGGCAGTGAGTAAACTGTTATACCATTTAAGAATGTTTACTTAGTTACATTGTGACAGACAATAGTACATTATTGCAGAGGCCGGGAAGTAAGGGATTGCTGGACGAGTAAGAGTTACTCGTTAGGCCTCGCTGGTGCTCGTCGTTGTGTTAATAAAAATTAAGCAATCCCCGTTCCCGCCGAGGCATGAATAGGTTTTTTCTCAAACAATGTGAGGAAATAATAAAAGACTAAAGAGTGGAAGATGTATAATGGAAAAAGTAAAAATACATTAATTAACATTAAAATTTATACAATACAATTGCTAAAAGAAAAAGTTATTGTTTTCACGGGCACTTTAATAGTAGTCTGCTAATCTTCTGATATGTTTGAATGTGTATCTATTACTGTATTTTCGTTACCGCTCTTCTCACTAGCACTCATTTTCGCCACCAAAATACAAAAAAGGCGAAAAACATAAGAATACCAACACACTTTAGTTTAAATGTTATCGCGTTTTTCTTTTTTTTTTAAGTAAGCGGTACAGGTAGGTATTTTAAGTTTTTTTTTTCTCGCAGTTATAAACACTGACCAGTTGGCTGTATTTACCAAATTTTATCTAGAATCCGTCATGGCCGTATGCGTGTTTGATTTTTATAACATTTTAGTTCGAGATATTATCTATGGAAGAATAGCTAACTGACCATTTGTTGCTAAAAAAATATAAAAAATCTTTTTTTTTTTTTGACGGGGGGAAATCTTTATGGATACCCCTGAGCCCAGGGAGACTCAGGAGTTATGTGGGGACGCTCCCTCCAAACTGGAGGGACTACCCCGCTAAAACCCCCCCGGGTTTCCCTCTCGCCGGTTGAGTCGGCGCCGTGGGATCAGTGAACATTCACCACGACGCCGCCCGGCCGCCCTAGCTTACGCCAGGGCTCCCGCGCCAACGGAGGGGCGAGTCGGTTGTCCTCCGACCCACCCCCCAGACGAGTGAGGCCGTGCAATGCAGACTCCGGAGTCCCTGTCCAGAGCCCGCTGGTCTCACTAGGGGATCAGGCGAGCAGCGAACTGCCTTCGCCTTCTCCCCGTACGTCTGCGCCGGAGCGGGTGCGCGTCTGCCGCGTCCTCGCGCACCCGCTCCGCGGCCTCCTTTTGCGACATAACCTCTGCGCAAAAGGAGGCCACCGCCTCCCAGGACTCCTCGCTATCGAGCATTGCGGCAACCACGCTCGGCAGCGAGAGGTCCTGCCCTACAGTCCCCGTCAGAGTGCGGCGCTGCTCATCCCACCGGCTACACACCTCTAGGGTGTGCTGCGCGGTGTCATCAGGCGCCGCACTCGTGGCACGACGGGGACGGTTCCCTCCTCGCCACCTTGTGCAGGTAGTGACCGAAGCAGCCGTGGCCGGTCAGCACCTGCACAAGGTGGTACGACAGTGGCCCGTGGGACCGGTTTACCCACTCTACGAGGACAGGGCGGATCGCCTCTATGGTACGAGCGCCATAGGGGGGATCCGTCAAGCCCTCTTTCCACCGGTCCCGCATGCGCTGCGCCGCGAGGCGGCGCTCCCGCTCCACCTCTTAGGGAGCGGGTCGCTCGCCTCGGTCCCTCATTCCCCGCCGGTAGGTGCGGACCTCCGCCAGGACCTCGGCTTCGAGGTCCCACGGCGGAGTACCGGCGAGGACGCATGCGGCAGCGCAGGCCACCGTCCTGTACGCCCTGCACATTCGCAGGGCGACCACCCTCTGGGGTCTCCTCAGCGGCGACGAAGGCGCTGCTGAGGAGGCCCCACTCCAAATGGGAGCCCCGTATAAGGCCATACTCCGAGTCACCCCGGCGTATAGCCTTCTGCATGGGGCTCCCGGCCTCCCGAGGTTGGGCAGTAGCCTGCCCAACGCCGATGCGGCGCCCACTATTCGGGGAGCAAGTTGCCGGAAATGCTCCCCGAAGTTCCATCGCCGGTCCAGGACAAGTCCCAGATATTTCATCTGGGACTTGACCGGGACCGGTACTCCCGCGATGGAGATGTGGGCGCCTGCCGGCACCGCACAACCTCTACCCCTCCCGCCGAAGACGGCCACATCCGTCTTCGGCACGGCGACCTCGAGCCCCAGCAGTTGAAAATATAAAAAACCTGCCATTTGCAAAATCCATAATTGTCGTGTTGTGAACCATATTTCCTCGCAAGACACAATGTACATACTGTAACCATAGTAGTTTATGTGACTGTTACATAATGAAAGGCATTAAAACACGAGTGTGGGCATTAAAACCCACACTCGTATTTTAATGCCTAATTATGTACAGTTACACACACTGCTTTATCTACACACTTATTATAAGCTCTCTGTGATATGCTCAGGAACCGCATGTTACGACTGGCGAAATGGCGGCAAATAAAAACTTTTGTCACGCATGTCACACAACCGTAGTTTTTATTTAATTCATAGACAAGCTAGAGCCGGCCCCAACTATCATATCCTTCGATATCAAGTAACGTGTGAGATTTGTCAAAATTGTTTGCTATTGACAGATTTCATTTTGAATAAAACTTCATCTCGACAGATATTAGAATTGAGGTCGAATCAAATTGTTTTGTTTTTCAGAGATGTTCGAAATTTTACAATTTTCCCAGATAAGAAATTTGTTCTAACAAAACAGTTTATATTTATGCTAGTCGTAATTTGCGGTTTTTGAACACATCATAGAGGCTTTATGTGTGTTGATAAAATTAATATCGTGTTGCAGAAGAGTGTGTGGACGTACGAGTGCGACAATGTTACATGGACTACGACCCGGACACGGGGCAATGCGCGCGTGCTGCTTCCGTACCGCAGACCAAATACTTGTGCTGCTGTTCGGCTGTGGCCTCCGCTTGGGGCGACCCGTGCGAGCCGTGCCCCGTCCGTGACTCGCCCGACTTCAAGGCGCTGTGCGGCGACCGCCCCAGCGAGTACATCAACCCAATCACCAACGAAACCAAAGCCATCAACGAGTGCGATATCATGCCGCAGCTCTGCAAGCCCGGCTCCTGTGACGACACACCTACCGGATTCCAATGTGTATGCGATCACGGGTACGCATTGCTCAATGTCCGTTGTTTGTGTCTAGCGAATCCAAAAACAAAAAAGGGCGCTGTATGATTTTTGAGTATAACTAGTCTATAGACAGCTGGTGTAGAACGTTTGTGCAATATGCATTGAAAAGCGTGACCTTGACATCAAGTGAATAACCAGCAAATCGCCGAGCCAGCATATTTTATTACAGATCTTTCAGGTCTTCGTTCACAATTCGTATAATGAAATAAGTATTTTTTAGTTTCGCCGGAACCATACAAAACTAATTGGGGTTTATAATCAAATGATTTTCGCTTTATTAGCTTCGAGCACGATACGACATCGCACATATGCCGCGACATAGACGAGTGTGTGGGGCGCGAGAATCCCTGTCCGGGCGTTGCGCAGTGCGTGAACTTGCCTGGCTCGTATGACTGCCGCTGCCCGGCCGGCTACGAGTTGCATAACAGCGACTGCCGCGACGTCGACGAGTGCCTTGATGACGGCGTCTGCGCGCACGGGGATTGCAAAAATACCCTTGGTTCCTACAGGTACCTGATACTATAATCTCGATTATTTCATACCGTGGAACACGCGGTAGAGAGATGTTCAGAACCTGCCATCGTATATTCCATGATTTTGGGGCGTGAGAAACTTAATAGGTTTACATAAACCAAAGAAATGATGTATCTATCTAGTACATTGGTGGAAACAGTCAAACTCTGGTAATGTATTGCCATGGACCAATGAGCCTTTATTCACACGGCATTGTCTTGCACGTTTCTTAACGTATTGGATTATAAACGGATAGATAGCGGGGTGTTCACACGTTATATTTTCATGCGTTTAAAAGACGGATAGCTGCAGTACTCACGCAGCAATCGCCCTGAGAACACGTCTGTGATGGATCCACGCTTTGTTGCATTTTTATAAAAACACATTTGAAAAATTGTACGGAAATCTGAGAAATAATGAAAGAAAATGGGCTTTTGTTCGTCGTAAATCGTTATCCACAGATGACGCGCCAGTCATCTCTTCTCTGTTAATAAAATTATGCGTGCCTTCTTTCCAAAAGATACTTCACTACAAGGCACCGCTTGTTCGGTGACTACTCGATAAACGTATGACTTTGCTCCGTGTTCACACGTACTCTTCCAAGAGATGCATTTATGCTATGTGCCATTGCACGTTGTCCGTTGCCTATTCGATAAACGTATAGAGGTGTGTGCGTTTTTTTGCAGGACAAACACCGTGTGAACGGTTCTATATCTAATGTATTGGTTACGCAGTATGATTTATACTGCAAAAAAACGTGCAGTATAATGCCGTGTAATGTGGGGAGGGTTAACTCAACAAATTTGCTAGTATCAGTATATAGTATAAAAGGTCTGCGTTCGTATTCCATCTCATATCTAGTGAAAGTACTTGAATTATATTATGTAAAAATCAGTTTTTTTTTCTTGTAATATTATTCAAATATTGATTAAGAGCTAAAATTATTTTCTAAACTTTGACAAATATGCGTCTCTTGTGTGTAACAAACCAATTTATAAATGACCGCTTCCTAATATAGTTAGATGGCGCTTATCATAATAGCCGTGGCACTATACAAAAAAATTTGTACAATAATCTTCTTCTCCTGCCCCTCAACTGATCACGATATTTTTATATCCGAACTCCTGGCAATCAGTGTCCCACTCCCCACCTCCATAACAAGTTTATTATATTTATGCAACATAGATGTTTACAATATTCTGGCCTTATTTATTGAAAATAATAATATCGAGCTATAACAGCTACCCACCTTCCCAATCCTTTTTCATCCAAATTCCGTACCTCTTTCATAATCTGTAATTCTGCTTTCAAAACCCTTTCATTGGCTAAATGCGAAGGCAAAGCCACTAATATTACAAAAAAAAAAATTTTTCTAAAATTGCTATTTGGTACTCGTCGCGACATCTGGTATTCCAATGCGTACTAAATACTCCACTACGCTGTCTTGTATTGCAATTAGTAGTCCTCTCGAGTTATTTATCCATGATATAGCAAATGAATAACAAATAATTAATAGGTGCGAATGCCAGCCCGGCTATACTCTTCGCGACAATGTATGCCGAGATGTGGATGAATGTTCACGACCGCGACCGATGTGCAAGAACGGTACCTGCGAAAATTTGCCCGGCGCTTACATATGCCACTGCAACGTGGGATTCAAGCCTGGCGCTAACAACGACTGCATCGGTGAGTTAGAAAAACAGATCAATCTTTGTACAGGGATAACTCAATAAAACAACGTTTGTTACACCGATATACATATATCGTCGTAATGGCGGTAATAGGCGGGCCCCAGCGTACCTTTATTTTCTATACACCACATGTCCTATATATCGATTGTTTTCTAAATGTCTTCTTAAAAGTCGATACTATCTCAGTTTGAATCCAAATGTTTGTTGTATTGAATCGGTTCTACAGAGTAGATCGTGCGGCAGAGATATTGGCTTTTTTTTTTAGTAACGCAATTAAAGCCATTTGAAAAATGTATATCGTAACCTGTGTTACTATTTTTTTTTCAAAGCGATTGCTGCAACACTTTTACTGTTATGTTGAATCAACCTTGAGGTTTTATCGATTTTTAAAGCAGTGTAACTGTGTGACATTGTTTGTCGTAGACATAAACGAGTGCCGAGATGGTGGTATGGTATGCCGTAATGGTATATGTCGCAACACGGTTGGCTCGTTCTGGTGCGAGTGCTCCCGCGGCTACACTCTCACACCCGACGGCAACAATTGCCGCGATGTCGACGAGTGCACCGAGATATCGTATCCTTGTGGCCGCGACGGCAATCCGTCTTGCACCAACACTAACGGAGGGTAAGAGCCCAGTTACACGAGGCGAAAGTTTCCGCCGAGTTACCACGTCTTCATTTACATTAATGGCGAATCTGAACTGTATTTACTAGGCAACAGCATTTAAATTCCTCTGAATAATACAACCGCGTGGTCGTCGCGTGGCCGCCGCGTAGACCAAATTCAAGCCAGCCTTGCCCGCGTGCCCGGGACGCTCTTTTAAGTTATAAGGTAAAAGCTAAATAAATAGAGCGTATTTTGCCATTACAGTTAGACGCACGCGGTCGCTACGCAGCGGCAACGCCGTGTTGAATAAATGCGCCCTTAGTTTTCCTACTTTAATAGCGCCATTGTTTCCTTGAAATATTTTATGGTGTGTACTCGTAAATAAGGAATATGATCATTTGTTTGATTTCGTAGCAATTGCCTCAGTGACCAAACGGTTACCATGCTGGACTGCCACGCAGAGGTCTCGGGCTCAATTCCCGGGCCGGGAGAAACATTTGTACGGCCTACATTTATTTCTCTCGTGAGTTTGGGTGTAATTTATGGTTGCCTACCTACATGTGTGTCCATGTCACTCGCGATACAGGGTTTCCCTAGTGTGAGGCTGTGATTGTGTGTGTTGTTATAATTACAAATCAAATATAACATAAATGAAGATATGATTACAAAACAAGCTGTAAGTGTAATACGGCCGTAAAGTTTCTACTGATGGTGGCGCTTTACATGGCTATTTGTATTTACGTATTTGATATATTTGGCAAACAATCACCATGTGTAGGTAGCATGTGTGACAAAGTATTTGCCTTGTTTGCCAATTCGACAAATAGGCAAATACGCAAGTAAACCGTCCACACTATGGTCTTATTCATTATTTTAACTTCTTATTTCTCTCCATGTGTAGACGGGCTTATTTGTCAGTATTTGCTTGTTTGTCTGTACATCAAATTACCAAGTATATCGAACACACAATAGCGAATATAAGTAGCCTTGTGACGCCATAAAAAGTTGCGAGTTATGCGGAGTAGTCCAAGATTCATATCACGAAAACAAAAAACTTGTTACTGTAACGTTTTTAGAGACGGCGTTAGTGAGAGCTCTCCAGATTCACCGAAAATCTGTACGTGATGATTTTTGTTATTCGGCTTTTCAGCAGCACCGCCCAGCAGCTTGATTTTGATTGCCTCTCCCGATTGGAAACTGCGTCTTTTCCGAGTCAAGGCGCATAATTGCGATTCACAACTGGCCGATCGGAAACTTTTGACATTTCTAATCGGAACAATAGTTAATTTAACTCAGAAATTAGAAAAATATAGTAGGAGTCTGGTTCATCTTCTCGCTTAGAAACCCATCTGATTTCGAGACTAGGATGGGCTACCCGATCGGATCGATTCCGGTTAGAATTAAAATCAGCCTGCAGTTATAGCTTACAAGCTGTTGTTTAGGTTAATATGCATATACTTCATTTGAAACTTCTTAAATAAAGAAAGATTAAAAAAATAGTTTCTATTATTTTGTAAACATCCTCATTTACTAAAAATTTACAGTTACCAGTGCTCATGCGGTGAGGGTTGGCGATTGGTGAATAACCGCTGCGTAGATCGAGACGAGTGCAAAGAAAAGCCCTACGTGTGCGCTGGTGGCGATTGCCGCAATTTCGATGGCGGGTGAGTTTAGTTTTTTAGTAAATGGAGTAATTTATTGATTATATTTTAAAGCGTACAAACAACTTATATCGCAATATTATAGATATTGATTAACAAGTTTTAAGTAGTGAATGATGAGTGTAATATCGAGTTTTTAGGTTTTTGCGGTTGTTACACATAGGAAATGAAACTATTTTTCCGGTTTTAAATCGCATATTTGTATTTTCAAATAAACCGACGTTTCGGGGCCTTTACAGGTCCCATGGTCACGGTTGACTGAGGTGGTACAGTCATCAACCAGTTCTGTCTAACATTAATGCAAACCACCCTATTTTTCACTATAGTTACAAAAGTTATTAATTAAATACCTTATTTTTAATTTTACAAAGAAGACATTCCAATTTACGCTACACTTCGTTTTACAAATTATTTTATTGAATGAATTTTTATTAAGAATTTTTATTAAGTTCAATTTATTATTAATTAATAATAGAAATTAAAATAAATTAATATTATATTATATAATTAACATAATAATTAGTACTGCAGTCTTATGTCTGTTTGGGATTTTTCATCAGAGGAAATACTGGATGCCAAACTGGAGGTACGGAGAAACCATCTTCCCTATTGAAATTAGGATGTAGGTACTCTAATTTCAAGGGCCTCTCGCAGCATCCTGGGTAGTGGACTTCTTTTGCAAGGACCTGGGGTTTGTCAAACTTCATTGAATGTGTAGGTTTATACATGACATGCTCGCAGACTGCAGACTTGTTTACGCGACAATGTTTGACATCAGCTCTGTTCTGTGACGCGGGTACAAATACTTCGCTTCGTTTGTCCAATATAAGAGAGACCGCACTCACAGTCAAGCTTGTAAACTCCTGCATCCTGTAAGAGGATGTTACATTTCACGGGTCTCAGGAACTGAGAAGTCTTCCTCAGGGGCTTGAAATAGGTCATAATAGATGCACGCCTGAGGACTCTTCCGATCTTGTCTGTAACACCTCTCACGGTAAGGTAAAATGGCAGGTCTTCAAAGAGACAAACAAATAGACGCGATTTAAATCCGGAAAAACAGTTTCATTTCCTAGATGGGTGTAACGTCAAGAAAAAAATTTCATATTTTCGCGCACAAATTTCGCGATATATTTTCAAAGATTGCCTACAAAATGAGCAATGTTTTTGTCTTTCTCCGTTGCGACAATCACAAAACCTCACTCTTAGAGCATTTGCGCACTACGTCCGATTCATATCAGTTCTGAATCCGAGAAATGATGGTCCGAAATGTCACAGGGATCATTTTATCTCTAGGTGTACAAGCGATATTCCTATTTTCTCGGATTCTAATAGGGCTTAGTGCACAAGCGAGATCCCAAGTGGGTCCGAGTTTTCTAGTTTTGTATTATAGTCTCCGAACGAATACGAATCGGACGCAGTAGCATTGCTTTCATTCAATCTAAAGAGTGAATTTATTGGTGCAGCTTTAAGTGCGACTGCCCGGACGGCTGGCGATTCGACAAGACGTCGTCGCAATGTATTGATGAAAGACAGGAAATATGCTACGAGGAGTGGGACCAGGGTCGCTGCCACAAAGCACGACCGCTAGAACTCACCAAGGCAGAGTGCTGTTGCTCTGAAGGTACGAGCTAACATTCAATGTTTTGTAATTGGGTTGGCTTAGTGTATGAATTCTTTCAAAATTTTGTAAAACTTTAGGTCGTGCATGGGGCAGGTACTGCGAACGGTGCCCACCGCCAAATACAGAAGCGTTCTTGAAAATCTGCACAGGCGGTATGGGAAGGCCGAACCTAACTAATGTAAGTTTTTGACTAAGAGCATCTTTAAATTAGATCAGATGCTTATTGCCGCGCTACTCCAGCTCTTCTACAAGCGTTTATTTCGAACGCACCCTTTGATGTTGACGCAGTTCTTTATATTTTTATTCTCTAAGTCTGGTATTCAACAACAGGAAGTGACGATTGATCATGTGAGCAAAATCATTTGGATATCGAGAGGGAACGTAGGGGGTTACCTATTAGTAGTCCGAAATGATATTTTCCAGAAATAACTTTTGCTCGAATTTCCATAACCTCGAAAGTAATTGTGAGAGTAAAATGTTTTTTCTTTGAAACCTAACCTAACCGAACCTAATCATGCTTTTGCGATAAACATCCAACATGTCCTGAAAGAAGAATGGTTTCGTTATAATTCGGTTTCTGGTGTAATGAAAATTCAAACAAACGTTGTTTCGGATAAAAAAATTCGAGTTTGTGATAGGTTACCAACACAGGGCGCTGGCGGTCAGATGTAATATGGTAGTATGAAGGTTTGCGCGCTGTAGTGAACAAATAAAAATCTACACGTGCAGCCTTTGGACTGACTATACGCTTAAGAAAATCAGCGCGGCAACAATGGTATTTGAATGTTGTTGGGGCTGCCACGTTTCTGCAATGCGTCAGGCTTGCTTGCGCTGACACATGTGGATAAGTTTAATGCCATTATGCGTAATAACGGGTTGCGTGCCAGCTCTAACCATTTTTTGTAATATTAAGTGACGGGACAAACAAGTCGTGCGCAGTGCCACTCAGAGCTTTAAATCGCAAATATATGATATATATGATATATATATAATATATGATATGAGTATTGCCCTACGCCCGTCTCCCTGAGACAAGTTGACAAGTTCATGTGCCTGTAATTTCACCAGCACCCTTACCCCTCTGCCGTCCACTAACTATAATGGGGCTAAGTGATAAATGGTCAAATAACCGTTTTAAATACTAACACAGTTTTAAGAATTACATTGTTTACTAACTAAACTGGACTGTTTGTTGTCTGATAAATAAAACTTATTATTATTTCAGGATCTAGATGAATGCCAGGTGCGGCCTGATGTGTGCCGCGGCGGGCGCTGCATAAACACAGACGGCTCGTTCAGATGCGAGTGCAACGACGGGTATACGCTGGATGAAACTAAGCTGAGCTGCGTGGACGTCGACGAGTGCGCATCTGACTCACGTATCTGCGGTAACGGCACCTGCACTAATGTGCCCGGTGGTTACGAGTGCCACTGCAACTACGGGTTCACGCAGGGACGCGATCAGGTACATATTTAGTTACGACGTTAAGTCAGGGACCTAGCAAGGTACCCTGAGAGACACCACATTTGGCGAAACGCAGCTAACTTTAATTGATTGATATATTTCTACAGACGTGCACAGACATCGACGAATGCGCAGAAGGGCGGGCTCCGTGCATGTCCCGCTGCCATAACACACCGGGCTCTTACCGTTGCATGTGCCCGTACGGTTATGTACTAGCTAATGACGGCATACACTGCAGCGACATCGACGAGTGCAAGCAGCAGCCCGACATTTGCCCTGAGAATCGTGAATGCGAAAATACCGTTAGCTCTTATATCTGCAAATGTCCAGAAGGTATGGATATAGTTATTATAAGATTAATATTTAATTTTACCGACTTCAAAAAGGAGGTTCTCAATTTGACTTTATTGTTTATTGCGTGTATGTTACACGATTACTCCGACATTTGCTTTGTTACTTCGAAATCTGTTTTCGAAGATTCTTTTTTTGTTGGAACGGAGGTACCTCAATAGTGCTTCCATTCAAATTTGAAGAAAATATTCCACCTATTAGTGTGGCAAATTAGGGGATGAATGCAGTTTATTGGGTTTTCACCCACTTTCCTTTGACCGATTCCAATAAAACTTGGCAAATAGTACTTTTGAGGTCGATTTTTTTTAATAAAATAGTTATATCGCCCCATGACCGTCCAGTTCTCTCTTGCACACTTTGCATTGTTTCCGAATGTATTGTTCAGGCTATCGGCGCATCGCGGCGAGGGATGAACCGGACGCATGTGAAGATATTAACGAGTGTGAGGAGGCCACGGACCACTGCTCGCCTGGTGTATGCATCAACATCGAAGGCGGGTACACCTGCGACTGCGATAACGGTTGGCAGCTCAACGCGGACGGCACCTCTTGCATAGGTCGGTACTAATACATTTCTCTGTTTTATGAATATAGATCTATCAGGCCTACAAAACACGCGGCGATTGGCACATTTTAATGACCAAATCTAATTAGAGTGCAGTAGAAATCAAATAAGCTATTTACGTAGTTTATTTTGTTTTATTATTTTATTTTCTGTTTCGAGATGCATACGTCCGTCACTCTCACTCACGCGGCTAAAACCAGCGTCACAAAAAGTCTTGGTTGTGACTCTAGTATATATAATATTATGTAACTTGTTGTTTAAATGTGTTAACGTTGTTTTTTGTGTTATTTCTGTTCTAGTTATATTAGTCTTTTTTATATCTTTTTTATGATGTGGCGTTACAATAAATGGTTTCTATTTCTGTTCGGAATTTCCTTGCGAAATTTAATTAGAAATTTACCATGAGCTTTTTGGTGAAGGCCTGCCACCTTTGGCATTTTGCTGCCAAATAGTAATGCAAGCATTACTGCATTCCGGTTTTGAAGGTTATGTATGGGTGTTATTAGTTTTATGAGATCGATGTGAAAATATTACAACATAATACGGATAATAATACCCGTTATATACAGTGTATTATTCTAATAATTGTTAAATTTTTTCACTCATTTGTTCTATTGTATTATAAAAATGAAGCGATATGACGAATCGGTGCAAATAATATTTCGCCAACTATACTCTGAAGGATTTACTGTAATTAACTGATAATTTTGATAATATTGTTTATGCTATTTTTAATTACAGACCGTCGCACTTCACAATGCTATCGATCGCTGGTGTCAGGCCGCTGCACGCCAGAACCGTGGCCCAGAAACGGCTACACGTCCACACCTACCGCGCCGTCTTATGTTACTAAGTAAATATACTTTTTTTTAACTACCACTTGAAACTCGTCGTGACATTAGTTACTTAAAAGTTTTTATTCAAAATAGCATTGGGCTCTATTGACTGTCCGGAATTGCTATCACAATTATCACTGAGAGTTCCCTCTAATTATCTTACAAATAATTCACTTTTGGTTCTATCTCTTGCCCGAACTAATTACAGGCAAGACGAGTTTAACGTGCAAGCAATAATTTTAACATTCTATTTAATACTTTTGATCTGGATGTGTTCAATACGAGTGTGATTTCGGCAATGAGGGCATTGAGTGAGCACTTTTTTGACTTTGGTGAGGCTTACAACTTCTGTGGTTTTTCTTTTATCTTTTTTATATAATAAGTTAGGTCAATTGTGCACCCAGATTCCTTAATATACTTTTGCTTGTGAGGATCTTTAATTAGTTCTCAGTTGTTATTATTATTATTTAATTTAGTTTTAAGCTGTTGATCTTCCTTTAAATAAATAAACGGTATATAACGGTATGTAATAAATATTCCAACCGGTGAACATGATTTCTACTCGATGGAAATTGGTAACCGCTGTGTATATGTAGACTTTAAGTTTATTGAATATCACGATGTTTTATTATAATGATATTCAATTATTTTTAGTGAAATTACTCCACCAACTTGTTATAATTATTAATACAAAGATCGAACACCAAGAAATATTTCTTCGATCCAGCTGGATTCGACAACAAGCACATAGAAAAATGCGGTCTACTAGTTCGTTCCGTAGCTCAGTTGGAAGACCGTCAGGCACGGTATGCTGAAGCTGTTGGTTCGAATTCACCCGGATTGAAGGAATTTTTCTTGGTGTTCGATCTTTGTATTATTAACCCAGTAGACATTTGTGATATTAAGAATCCAGAAATCATAAAAGCGTTGCCGGTCGAAGGACATTAAATTTTACGTGTCATGTTCTTGTGAGTGCGCTAACTCTTTCTATCTTTAAATCCGTAACATAGTATTGTTAATTTGTGGAAGAAATGAGAACAGGAATGGTAACTAAACATGCGTATCTTACCCAAGCAGAAAACACTACCACTTCTATTCATTAAATTGAACTAAACATCTAGAAAATGACGCCATATGAAAACCTGTTGAGCTAAGGAAATGATCTCCCATTTGGGACGACATAAACTTTAATATTCATTAATAAAATATTTTTAACCGAGTTTAAAAAAGGAGGAGGTTCATAATTCATCTGTATTTTTTTGTTTGTATGTTGACTTTCTTAAATTTGCGAACCGAATTTGATGACTCTTTTGTATTGGAAAGAGAGTACGTCTGTGGTGGTCTCATTTAAATTTGAAGAAAATATTCCACGCCTAAGGGATGAATCTGGTTTCGCGCACTTTCCGTTAACCGATTTTAATGAAACTTGTCAAGTGCATGTAATTCCATGAACTTTTGAGGTCGGTTTTTTTAGTACTCTGTACTGAGATTATTATTGTCATATTTATAATTTATTTATGTTTCAGAGCACAATGCTGTTGCACATTGGGAGTAGCGTGGGGCCCTGAATGCGAAATCTGCCCTGTGCCCGGCACTATCGATCGAATGGAGCTTTGCACTCCAGAGAATATCAACCCTGACAAAAACGGTGGTCAAGGTGGTAATGGTGGTCTCGATGGTAATGGTGGTTCCGGTGGTAATGGTGGTCACGGTGATAATGGTTATCCCGGTGGTGATGGTGGTCACGGTGGTAATGGTGGTTACGCTGTTGATGGTGACGTTGATGAGTGCGCTGCCATGCCCGACCTCTGCGCGCCGGGACGCTGCGTTAACACTATTGGCAGGTATGGTGAATTTAATAAAAATTTCGAAATTCTGTTTGTTTTTTGTAAACTCTAGAACCCATGTACTGTCACTGTTCACAACAGTTGGGATTTAAGTTAATTTGTTAAGTTAATTGACAATCGAATGAGGTTCTTTATATCCTAGATAAATGACAAATGTCGCATACGATTTTTTTCTAGTAATGAAGTTTAACATGCGAATTTATTTAAATAGATGAAAAAATACAATTAGCCAGTAACATTTTTCGAAAAAAAAATAGAAATCAAATCTTTGAAATTCACTATTAACAAAATAAACTATTGCGAACAACATACTTATTTCTTCGCGATTGTTTGTGCAATACATACATATACACTTCACACCTTTTTTACGTTAGTGCCGCGCAATGCAACGTTTAATTCGACGAACTACAAGCGCTTAATTTTATATGCCATCGCGTGTATAGATTATATATGGTTATAGTTAGTTATTTTTATGTATTTATTTATTCAGGTAACAAACAGTCATATACAAACAATTACCTAAGAACACTGTATAAAAATAGACCTATAGTACCCTACATTAACACAAATAACATAAATTGAGCAAATATATGACGAATACAAAATATTTACTTATATACTACCAAAATATTCATATTACAGACCAAAAAATAATCATTGAACCACCAGAATGTTATTTTTCCCACTTTTTCTTAAACGTATTTAAGGTATTTACAAACATATCAACATCATAGACACTTATTATAAAAATTACACGATCACCTGAAATAGATATTTTTTGCATAATTTGTTCGACAATTTGAAACATAAAAATCCTTTTTGAAAGATGAGATACGAGGTAAATTAAACGAGTTTTGCTCTAAAAGTTCCGCGGAATCAATGTCATTGTGAACAAATAGTTATGTATTATATATTGTATGTATATGTTTAAAATAGGTATCATAATTATTTATAAACATTATAATACATATTGAGAATATTTTAAACCATGTTTGTATTTACCAATAACCTACAAAGTGGCGACAATTCTTATGTTGCAGTTTCCGGTGCGTGTGCGGCCTAGGCTACCGACCGGCGGGCGATATATGTGCCGACATCGACGAATGCGCGCAGCGGCCTAGACCGTGCCAGCACTCCTGCAAGAACACTGAAGGCTCATATGAATGCCTCTGCAGACCCGGATATGAGGTATTGTTTTTTATTTATTTATTTGTAAACTGTTTACAGGTTGTTGGAACAGGTTTTAAAAATTGATTTATATTCTTAAACTACAAACTTATTTAGCCATTTGCAAGGTTTGTTATTTAAACAAATCATTCCACGTTATATTTAATTTAAATAAATTAATACCAAAGTTTAAGTGGCAGTTGGCAGGGCACGTAGCTCGTAGAACTGACGGCCGTTGCGGCAGAAAGGCTCTCGAATGGAGACTACGAACCGGAAGACGTTCAGTGGAATGGCCACTACTAGATGGGCGGATGACTTGGTAAAGGCGGCGAGTAACAGAAGGATGCACGTCGCTTGCGACCGGCTAAACTGGCAATCTTTGGGGGGAGGCCTATGTTCAGCGGTAGACATTTTCCGGCTGATATGATGATGTTGATGATGAAAACCAAAGTGAAGCTACTTTTAAAGCAATGGCTATTATAAAAAAATCAACGAAATTACAAATAAAAACCCTAATTGCAAGGAGTTTGTTTGTGTTTAGCTTGTGTAAGTGTGTGCGCTCCGTTTAATTGTTATTACCTTCAAAGTGGGGGTGTTTATTTAAAGAATTCGTGAATTGACTGCGCTTCAGAAAGACGATCTCGATATTGTGTTAGTCGATGTTGGTATCATGTTCACAGTTTTTTCCGAGGAAAGTACGTCGTTAGTCCGGTGCACATTCTGTTCCGTTTCACATATATATGGAGATTTGGTGAACTGTGCCAACAAGTAGCTAGTGAGAATTTTATACCATCCAAAACAGTTCGTACGCTGGACCACACGGTTATCACTGGAGTTAATTTGCAGGTGGACGAAGACGGTGCGAATTGCCGCGACATCGACGAGTGTATCCGTGGCACACACACGTGCCAGCAGACTTGTAGGAATACAGAGGGTTCGTACGAGTGCTCGTGTGAGGATGGGTACGAGAAGCGCGGAGACGCTTGCGTTGGTGAGTATCTGCTTTCAGACAAGCATATCGGCCATCAATACTAGGAATTGCAGAATTCATTCCCGCCTTCCCCTTTATGGAAAAGGCCTAAGTCTAGCTAGGGCTAGATATAGGCCGGGGTTCCACCCCACATGCTGTGGATGTTCCAAAGATTCGTAGGAAGCGTTACGCTGCCACATTTATATGGCGAACGGCAATGGAAAGGAATTCCCTGCCTGCAAACATATTCCTTGAACAGCCCCATATCTTTCTACATTAGTTTTGATTATAGTGACCCTGCCTACCAACCCTTAGGGTATACGAGAAGGTCACTATAACTTGTGCGCGCACAGGAGCCTTACAAGTTCAGTTCTGACCCCAGATCGGCTAGTGTACAGGGTTGTAACAGACCTCTGTCACTTGACTTCATCCGGTTCTCGAGAGGTTAGTGCCTCGGGTGAGCCGCCCCAGGTATGAGGTACAGTATACTCCCTATTTTCCAGATAGGTTCCGGAGCTGTAGGCACGCTCTCTTCCCGTTGCGCATTGCACAACTAGCAGTTCCCACCACTAAGCCGTAGACTCTGAGACCACTACCAAATCGCCTCATTGGTGGTGGAGCTGTAAGGCACGCTCACTTTCCGACGCCAAAAAACGACGTCTCTCCAGTTCCCAATAACCTAAGCGGCTGGAGGGACCGGAGGATATCTAGCTTATGGAGGGTACTGTACGTGCACCGCCCCGGGTGCACGTACAGTACCATTCATATTTTCCAGATAGGTATCGGAGCTGTAGGCACGCTCACTTCCCGTTGCGCATTGCACAACTAGCGGTTGCCACCGCTAAGCCGTCGACTCTAAAGTCCATATATATTTCCTGAACAATATCACTTAGGCCTTTTCAAGGCGAGAGTGAGTAGACATTATTTACATATCACCGGTTTCCTTTAACAGAGATGCGCGTCAAATGTGCACCTATTCTTTTATAAAAAAATGTGTCAGTTGGTTATACCCATTGACCGGGTCAATGGTTACGGCATTTTAAATTGTATTAGAGTTATATGCTTGGCCATAAAAACGCTAATGAGCAATAGTATAAACACTGTTATTTTTTAACTTAATTACCGGTAGACGTGAACGAATGCCACGAGGAAGGCATCTGTCCGACGCCGGGTAAGTGCGTGAACTTACTGGGATCGTACCGCTGCGTGTGCCCGCGCGGTTTCCGCTTGGACGTAACCGGCGGCCGCTGCGTCGACCGCGACGAGTGCGACGATGGTCGCTGCCAGTCACCCTGCCGCAACTACGCCGGGGGCTATCGATGCGAGTGCCCAGACGGTGTGTATATATTTAATTATTTTTTACATAACTTTATGCACTTACAGTTTCCCAAAACGTACACAGATTAGAGATACTATAAAAGAGAATTAAAAATGTGGAAAGAAATAGGAATTGAAACTATTTTTCCGAATTTAAATCGCGTATTTTTGTTTTTTAAACAAACTAACGTTTCGGGCCTTTTACAGGTCCCATGGTCACGGTTGACTGAGGTTGTACAGTCATTTTGCACTTAGTCAGTTTGCACTATAGTTACAAAAGCTATTAATTAAATACCATATTTTTATTTTATTTTTTAACCCGGGACCTCTGCATGGCAGACCAGCTTGATAACCGTTCACACGGAGGCAGTTAGTATAATATTATAGTTGGCACGGATTGCCTGAGAGTGCTGGTTCGAATCCAGCCGGATCGAATGAATTTTTCTAAGTGTTCGATCTTGGTTTTAATAATTATACCAAAGTAGTGGAGTAAAAAAAAAATATCATGGTAAGTAAAACATCGTGAATTCGTGACATTCAATAAACGTAAAAAAAAGATAGTTCCAAATTAGCAACCTTATAAACAATGACAATCAGGTCACTGTTATGGACAGGCGCGTATCTTACCATCAGTCGTATTACTTGTTCGTTCCGTCACTTAATATTATAAAAAAAACTTTCATTGTAAAGGTGCGACTTGTTAAAGAACAAGAAGAACACATGGGACTTGTCAACTTATATCTCAGGGTGGCGGGCGCAGTGGTAGTGCCCCTCAGATCTTTACAATTTAAAGCTCTGAGTTGCTGTTATGGACAGGCGTGTAGCTTACCATCAGGCGCACGACTTGTTCGTCCCGTCACTTGATGTTATAAAAAAATTGAAGGGGGTGAAATTAACGAACTCGTTGTTATGCTTAGGCACGGTCCGGGGCTCTGGCGGTATCTGCGCGCCGGTGGACGCGTGCGGGACCAGCCCGTGTGGCTCCTCGCCGTGCTTCCCCGTCGGCGGTGCCTACCGCTGCGGCTGTCCCGGTGGCTACGGATGGGACGCGGGACACGGCGTCTGCTTACAGGTACTCTCTTCGTATGCATCATCGATCCACATGAGCACGGTTCTTTTTAGGAGAGCACATGGATATGCATATGTGCCTTATATACTTTCGCATAGCCTCGGAGGTAGGATAAATTAAGCATCTCTTGGAAAAGTTTAACAGCATTGATTGTGTTCAAGAAGAGTGAACTAATTTTCTATTAATCGTTATTTCATAGGTAAGCAAATTACACGGTAACCTATCAGTCGCAATTTTTTGTCCAAGATAACGATTGTTCTAATTTTCATTACACCGAAAACCGAATTATAACGAAACAGTTGTTCTTTCAGGGTATGTTGAATGTTTATTGCAAAGACAAGATTAGGCTAGGTTAAGTTAGGTTTAAAAGAAAAAACATTTTCCTCTCAAAATTACTTTCGAGGTTATAAAATTTCGACCAAACGTTATTTCTGGAAAATGTCATTTCGAACTACTAATAGGTAACCAACTTGAAATCGTCATGCTGATTAAATTATACTGCTCATTCGTAAGGCATATCCCCTGAGAACAATGAGCAAGAAACTATAGGGGTTGCTCTTTGTAAATATACATTTGAAACATTTATCGTTACAATATTTAATTTATACGTCTTAGATCGAGACTACCTGCAAGAGCTCACCCAAGTATTCAGAAGCTGTATAAATAATCTTTAATGCTTTTAAAGTTTGAGTATAGTTTGTAACCTCGTAAATGGCAAATTTTGAATATCAATTGGAATCTTATTCCAGAAGCGTATACATTGCCCCATAAATGAATTAGAGACTTTGTGAAGACGACTGACTGTCAAGAACAGCTAGTTTATTTTTATTATTAATGTTATAGGTAACCGTCACAGTGACATGAGAATGGTTCTAATCTTTATTCTAATCTCTGGATGGATATAATCTATGTAAAAGAAACATCTTCCAAGTCTTGACGTAAGACCAAGGAGCAATTAATAAATACTTCTTTGTGTTTAGTTGGCCGGCGGCTGTGCGACAGCCAGTTGCCTGTTCGGCTGTTCGGCGCTTGGCGACTCCTATCAGTGCGGCTGCCCTGCTGGTTACCAGCTGGTGGGTGCGGGTCATTGCCTCACGGCGCTGGATGGTGCGTTACCACCCGACGACATCGGCGGCGCACCCGTCTTCCCAGTTAGAGACCAGTACAAAATTGGAGGGGAGAACGAACTCATTTCCAATGAGGGCTGCTTCAGCTGCAAGGTATTCTCTTTTTTATGTAAACATTAAGGGCCAGCGCTAACAGGCAGACCGGAAGGCAGAGGACATTAAATTTATCAATTTATGCTATGACAATTGAAATAAGGTATAAATTTCAATGCCCTGATACCGGCCTCAGACCATCGCAGCGCATTTCTCTCTGCGTTATTGAAGAGCACACCGGAGGATACAGCGGCAAGATGCGGCGGTATACGCCGTAGTCTTCCGGTGTGCGCCTGAGTCTGATTTTTTACCGACTTTAAAAAAGGAGGAGGTTCAACTCCACTGTATTTTTTTCTTTTTTTTTGTATGTATGTTACACGATAACTCTTTTTTTGTTGGAAAGAGGGCATCTCAGTGGTGGCCCCATTTAAATTTAAAGAAAATATTCCACCTCTAAGGGTGGCAAACTAGGGGATAAATTTGGTTTTGCGCACTTTCCGGTAACCGATTTAAAAAAAAACTTGGCAAATAGATGTGATTCCACGAACTTTCAAGGACGGTTTTTTTAGTACTCTGTACTGAGATTATCGATTGCGTAGTCGCTACTAGAAGTGGTACAAATCCGAGCGACCGATGGCATGTTGGCGTTTGTCGCGGCATTCCAGTGGACTTTACGGTACACTGGCGGATTCTCGCGGTATCGTAAGGAATATCCCCCATCAGAGTGCGCTGGCAGGCAAAAGATTCTCGTCGATGCTCTCTGCCTTCGTCCTCAGGTTTTTGTTGGCCCTGCTCTTTATGTTTATTTTTAAATTAATTGAATCACCGGTTGAAGTTAAATCTGAAGCTGTGTTCAATAATTATTATCATCAACCTCAATACTTCCTTACACTTACATACTGAACTCAATGTTTCATACTACAATACGGTCTTAAAACATTTTTACATTTTTGTTCCAGGTCAACGGTAGAAGAAGAAGAGCTTCCGAGGAAGGCATTGTGTATGCGAATGGAACCACCCTTGTCCGAAGAAGACGACGGCGTAGTCGACGTACGTTGTTTTTGATACTTATGCCAAAAAATGGCTGCTATACAATTTGTTCGGTTATGTACTAAGAAATGTTAATGTGATACGTTAATTCGACAGGTCGTCGTTCTGTGCTGGAGCCAGAAGCTGAGTTAATAGTAGTAACTGCCACGCCGAAACAGACGTGGGGCCGCGCGCCACTGCTGCGCCTAGTACCCGCCGAGGACAAGGCGCGGGCGCATTACCGCATCGCCTACGGCGACCCCGACAGCGACTTCATTCTCAATAAGCGCGACGGCGCCTGGGCGCTGCGCATGCGCAAGCACATTAAATCGAAAGCCAGCTACGAGCGGCAGTTGGAGCTGGAAGCACGGTTCGTGGTCAACCCCGAGTCGAGCCGGCGCAATCGCCGCAGCCGTCGGCAGGTGGCGCCTGCGCCGCTGCGCCTCTACGTATCCGTCCGCATTGACCCCGACGCGCATCGGCGCTGACCTCAAGAACTTATCTATTATTCGTCGGACCATTAGCCGTTAGTAGCGTCTGTTTTGGAAATGTCTAATTTGTATGTAACAGGTGCCCTTTTTCGTGAGGCGATTCGAGATTGAGTTTCGTTAGTCGTTGCTCTCCGTTAACCACAACCATGCGTCAATAGGTCTAAATATGATCTGTTAAAATATACAGGATTATTTGTAAAATATTAACAACCTCACAGGTCTCTTTTACTTATATCAAAAATAACAAATTTTGTTTCAGGATTTAATATATAAAAAAAATATTCGTCCGATTTTATTTAGGTACAAAAATAAAAATATTTAAATAGATCATTCTAAACGGTGACCACTCTTTGCGTAAGAAAAGATACATACCAGATCGACGCAAAACGCAAGAGCGGGGGTGGAATGCTCACACGTTTGATCACGTATGAACACGTTACTATCAAATACAGATATCAAAAATTTTTGGTAAATTTATTATGTTTTGTAAAAAGTTGTGGAGCAAAACTTATTGTTTATGATGTTAGTAATATACTCCTACAACCACGTAAGACTAACAACCATGTTAGTATTTTACAAATCACCCTGTATAAAAGAGTATTGCAGAAATAGACGTGTTGATTCATGAGTTTTTTGGTGGTATAAGTCGAAAATTGATATTTTTCATGTAAACGATATCACTGCTAAATTCCAGCAATTGGATCAGAATTTCACTGCCACGTTTATAGTGTGACTTAACAACACAATGTTATCTGCGTATAGTCACATTCTATTGTTACCACTGCCAGATTTGTGTTCCGACTCTTGTGCGAACCACGTAGTTTTAAAATGAATACAGTTGACAATCTTTAATAAGTGCTCCAAACCACATGAATATTCTGTGTGCATTGGAGCATAGTCATAGAGGTTAAGATATAGAGCTTATTATATTTTGTCGCTTTTATATATAACTGTTCGTCGGATGTTAGGTGAGCGGGCACGATTTATATATAAGAGACGCCCCATCTTTAAAGGTCTCTTCTGTTTAAATCGCGCGTAGGGGCTGTCGTTAGGCGACCCCGTCGGCAGTATTAGTGCAGTGTGTGTCGTGCCTTCTTTTATTTAAGTTTTTTTTTGTATTGCCACACCATTGAATTTAAAAGACCAAACGAAATAACTACATAGCGTATCAGACCCAAATATATCGTGCATACGTCCTTTTATGATTCTGTTACAGATCAAAGTCATTTGTCTGTTTCATGTTTAAATTTTCAAAAATGTTATGGTGCAGTTAACTATACCAATGTGACGAAATAACAATTTGACCGTTTACAAATATATCTTAGAAAATATCTGGTGAAATTACAGGCACATGGGACTTGTCAACTTATGTCTCAGGGTGACTAAACAGGGTGAGTACTAAAAAAACCGACCTCAAAAGTACATGAAATTACATATAATTACCATGTTTTATTGAAATCGGTTACCCGGTAGTGCGCAAACCCGGATTTGTCCCCTAGTTAGCCACTAAAATATAATAAAAATCGGTTCTCATTTCTCAAAGTATATCGAGAGAGAAAAACGCCTTGAGTTGGAGAATAGCAAAATCAGCCATTAAATCAATTACTGCTTATAATAAACTTTTGGCGTTATTTATAAAAATGAATCTTCATATGTGAACAGCCACCCTTAGACACGGATGGTTTTCTTCAAAATTAAATGGGACCACTATGGAGAGACCCTCTTTCCAACAAAAAAATAATCATGAAAGTCGGTTCACAAATACCGGAGTTATCGCGTAACATACATACAAAAAAAAAAACAAAATAAAAACATACAGTCGAATTGAGAACCTCCTCCTTTTTTTGAAGTCGGTTAAAAATGAAAATGACTACATAGGTGAAAAGACTCTATTGAAGCGTCCATTTTAATTTGGGTCTATTTTGTTACGATCTGTCGTAGATCAGACGTCTGTTCCACTTTTAAATTAGACAAGCATGTTACGAGTTTGATAACGGTAAAAATTATTGCTCAGCAGATCAGACCCAAACTAAGTGACCACATGTTCTTTTATGATCTGTTGCCGATCGTCTTTATACGTCTGTTATTCTTTTAAATTACTTTACCCAGTTATGAATTGTGATAATGTTAAAATGACTACACAGTGGATCAGATGGAGCGACCACACGTTCTTTTATGATCTATCAAGGATCATATTCATTCGTCTATTCCATTTTTAAATTAGACAAGCCAGTTACTACAAAATAGGTGAAACCCACATTAATTCTTTTTCTACATTATAACTTTAAATAATATTAAAGTAAATAATTATTTTATATTTGGACGCCATTTTCACCATTTTCATATTTAATAATTATTATTATTTTTACACGAAAATAGTGGTAAATGGTACAGAGAAAATCTGAATTATTGTTTTTTTAAAGACGGTTTTTATCGTTTCGTAAATTTGTTCAGATTAACTTTTCTGGCTAAGAAGTAAAAAAAAAAATCATAAGTATATTACTGAAGCGAGTGCTACACTACTGTAACAAATTTTCACAAGAATTATTTCCCGTGTATTATAGCGATGGTGCGGCAGTACTTGTCGTTTTATGTCCTTTACTTTATTCAACATTTCTAGATTTAAGAGCCGTTTACAACTAGCGCTTACATTGTGGAGCGTTCTCTCAAAAATGTAAGTTACCTCGTTAGTAGTTCACCGGTTATCACAGTGATTTGTTTTCAATGAGGCCAGATTTTAGCTTTTTGAAATATGTGAATGTTATTGTGCAGTATGAAATTATATTGACTAAGTTTGCTTTACATAATGACATTCAGTCGAATTATATGATCATATTCTCTTTAAGAAGTACACGATTGTTGATGTGTGATTTATGTAGAGTACAATTTATTTGTCATTTCCATTTGTCGGACTCTAGAACACCAGTGCCTGAATTCGCCAGTTGTCAAGTAACTTAGTTCTAAGAAAGTTATTTATTTTTACTTTCCATTTTTCTAAAAATTATTTTTAACACAATAAACTTTTATTTGTTAGCCTATTTTTATATTTCTCCGTAGAATTTAGCGACCAATTAATTTTCGGACATAATCAAGGCAATAGACTTGTTTTGTAAATATGTGTTACATATGAAATTATAAAATTTGAATGTTAGTTGTGTAGTAGTTAAACTACGATTAAGAATTAAAAATAGATTGTAAGCGAGAATGGATCAAAAGAAACAATAAATATTAATAGAAAATATTTCGCTTTTAATTAGACATCGACGTAGATCATAAAGGCTGTGAAGCTCAATAATATAATTATACTATTTTTGCACGAGTCATGATAAATCCATCGATAAAAAAATCTGGGTTTATAATAACGAACCTACAAAACCATTCTTTTCTACTATACGCCGCAATTGCACAAGCACGCACAAATACGGCCCCTATATGGAGTACTGCTCGCATCTCTGGAAATGAGCTCTCAAATACCACCTCCCAAAACGCGTGAACTACATGTATGTAATACCAGGTTGATTTCACCGTCACATTTCCACCATCGCACCTCCCGCCAAAGAAGTAGAACCTATCCTCACATCCTTGATGCCTGATATTGTAAGACCATGCTAGCATCGCGTTTGTTTCATCCTCGAACCTGCAAGATGTGGAATGATCTTCCTCATTGTTCCGCGTGGAACTGAGAACATGGAACTACTGGGAACAAACGTTACGGCCTTCTTTAATTCTCTCTTCCGGTAGCAAAGGTAAATAATACATAGGGCGCACTATAAGTTTCCGGAACTGGCCACTTATATAAAGAATATTTAAAAAGTAATTACAACATTTGAAAATAGAACCCTTTGGCTGTAGAATACAGTTTGTTTCATGTCACTGTCACTTGTTTTTACATTGTGGCGCCATTTTAGAAATTAGTTGTCTACATCACCATCAAAGCACCATCATTGACTTTTATGATCACCATGGATTTTACTCGTGAAAATATTCGTAGTATGATTTTCTACGACTTAGTGTAATTTAACAGCTCAAGAGAGGTTCGCTCGGCTTCAAACTGCTTTTGGCGATGAAACACTATGCAAGACGACTATATATAGATGGTTTGCAGAATTCAACCGCGGTCGTGTGAATCTCAGTGATTAATTCCGTGAAGGTCGCCCGTCCACTGCTGTGAACAACAAAGACATCGATGCTGTGGCCCTATCTTAAAAATTTCCCATACTGAAAAATGGTCAAAAAAAAAACAAACTGATAAATGGTCAGAGTGTAATGATTTATATACAGAGAGTTAATCTGGGAGTTATCGCGGTCAGGACGCAGTTAGGACGATGCTATTACGAATGGTGGTGAAATAATCCTCTCTAGCTTCTGCGAACAGACCGGACGCACCTCAGAATCGGATTAGCCCCATTAACACCTAAATGGTGTAACAGTGCTTCTATATAATTAATGTCGGCAATCATCGGATTTCCGAATGCACACGAATATTAATTTTCTTATCTTAATTATTACATTTATCACCTACTAGTGCCCGCGACTGCCCTGCGTAGAATAAGTACTGCAAATGCTATTGTACTACTTACTTAAGAAATGATTGGTTCTCCCATTGACTTACAATGGTTCTCCATACAAATTTCACCTCCTTTACGATGTGACGGCTTTAGACGCCATCTATTATCACGGGCTCGCTGTGGCAGTCTCCTTGGACGAGAGTCGCCAAGGAGAGTGTTACACTTGCCAATATTTTCGACAGTGTTTTAGTTATGTGGATTGTCACTTATGTCAGCGAGGGATTCGCTCTGGACCTTTTGGAGGGAAAAGTGTCGTTTTTATTTTGACTTTCGATTATTTTGTGAAATCTAGTTTAAAGTGGAATAGGATAGTGCTATTGTGCCTTAATCGAAGATTAAAACGCGAAATTATACGAATCTCGAATTAAAATACCCGTAACAGCCCGTTTTAAGGAATCCCGAGTCAATCCTAGCACGCCGCTTCAAATTGTCTATCCTTTTTGTGGCGGCCATATTTACAGAAACATCAGTCCATAGCAATGCGCGTTCGGAAACGGACGTGCCACGACGAAGTGAGTTAATTACACCTAACTCGTGTTTCGAGCGGCACAAGCCGCTGCGCGTAATTGACAATGAGTTCCCAGCAACTCATTGCCAATGAGCTCCTGGCGTTCGTAATACACGCTATCGACACCATGGATGAAGTCAGCATAGTGCAGATATGCAAATCAAATTTTAGTGAAGATGAGATTTGCAGTGGCAAGATGCTGCTTTTCCAGCGTCTCGGTAAAGCCGAAGAGATGCCATCTCGCCGGAGGGATGGAGGCGTGAAGAGTCTCCAAGACATAATCACGCTGCTGAAGGAGACTGACCCGGACGACGTGCCTACATTCGTGGCGAAGGAGCTGCACAAGCT